TCACTGGTGACCGTCGAAAATGATACCAGCAGAGAATTTCAAAGACGCATTATGGCAGGGAATCGTGCATACTTTGGACTCCGGAGGACGCTCCGGTCGAATAAAATTCGCCACGAAGTTGACTATCTAAAAAACGCTGATTAGACCGGTGGTCTTCTACAGCCACGAGACCGTGACTATGCTCGTGGAGGACAAACGCACCCTTGGATGACGGAACGTGGAGGAAGCGAATGAACCAAGAATTGCACCAGCTGTTGGGAGAACTATCCATCGTTCACATTGCGAAAATTGGGCGACTACGGTAAGCTGGGCATGTCGTGAGAATGTCGCACGACGACGCAGTGAAAATGGTTCTCGAAAGCGCCCCAACAGGAACAAGAAGAAGAGGCGCGCAGCGGGCAAGGTGCATCGACCAAGTAGTAGGTGACCTGCGGACCCTTCACAGACTACGAGGCTGGCAAAGTTTGGCCATGGATCGAGTAGAGTGGATACGACTTCTTTGGACAGCAGAGGACAACATCAGCGTTGCCAGTATTCCAGATGTATCTGGATTTTCCAGATTTTTAGTCGTCTTGTCAGATACATAGATAGATCACGCATGTTTCCAGATTTTTAAGATATGTTCCAGATTTTCCCTGATTTTTTTACATGTTGCTTTAAAAATATCACTGCAATTGATTTACCCTCTAATAAAAAAAATGCTTTAATTATTAAAGGCCATCAACGTTGGACATTGTTGAAATTTTAAGGTATTTCTGAAACTAGTTCACAGTGAATAGTGAAGCCAACTCCTTGTGAAATCAAAGAAGAACTTCAAGCTAATTCTGAGTAGAGTTCCTGAGTGGGCTTGGTGGTCATGCGCGTCACCCGTCGTTCAAGCGTATTGTGAGTGCCAGATCCATAGGCCAACATTAGAGCCATTTCTCCTACAATCCGGGAGAGAAATCACAGACTTTTTTTATGATTGAACTTAAGGTGTATGCGTATCGTGAGAATAATTTCAATGGAATTCTATCCTATGTTTCTATGGATATTAATTTTAATAAAATTTTATGATATTTCAACGGAATTATGCGCAATTTCTGGGATACTTTCAAGGCCATTTTGGTAAAGTAATTGAGTACTAAGGAAATGCTGAAGAGGATTTCAAAATAATTCTGACCTTACCTAAAAAGCAGTTCAAAGGAAATTATCGGATGAGTCTGAGAAGAGTCCAACGGTCATTTTGAAGAGTGCACCACGGAAATTATTACCAATGTGAAGGAATTGAGGAATTGGAGAGTAATTTATAGGAGATTTCAAGAGGTAATGCTATGAACTCTTTGAATGTTACTGGCAGTGATGGAAAAGTTCGCGAAAACTCACTATGACTCGCGAACTTTTCCCATGGTGAACTTCGTGAAATATCGCAAACATTTCCAACACTGGTTACTGGAAAAGTTGGGATATTATCAAGATTATTTTAGGGGAATCCAGAAAATGGAACTCGAAAAAGGGTGATGATGTCATGTGAAGATTTCCAAGAAAATTCAGACTACCAAAAATTTTCATGATCTGGGACCCAGGAAAACTAGAAATTCCGGAATTTATAATCATTTCAAGATCCTGGGACTTCAAAAATGATCAGATTTTCATTTAAGTAATAAAATAAAAAAATTATTTGGAATGGTTTATGCGAATAGTGGAGTTATCCGTAGTTTAGGTAAACTTTGTGTGAGTTCTCGATGTAAGGCTTTGATTCCCACTTCAGCCAGGTGCATTTTGCTTCAAAATAAAATTGCCTACTGGTCTAATGCGAGTTGTGTGATGTATGATGTCCGGAATTAAATTGTAAATCTGATCAACCTTAGGGGGATATTAGAATTATTTAGATCTAATGAAATCTTTATATTCTGGTACTGCATCAAATAGTAAGAACTACATCGATTTTAGTTAAAAAAAACATACATGCCATCAAAATTCTTTGCTTCTCATTCTTTTAAAAAAATTTATAATTTAAAAAAAAATCTGATAATATTTTCTGCAGTATTTTACCCACATTTAATTCAGTTTTTGAACTGCTGCGTATATCCACTTTTTGGGCACACTGTGTCAATACTTTTCAACTTTTGTATGACTTAGCAATACTTACAAGTTATTTGCTTTATATGCTTTATATAATTTATTTGAACATGTAATTCATAATCATTATAGTACTTCAAATACATTCCAGATGATCATACTGACCGATTTTTACGGGAGATTGGCACATCACTTTGATTTCAATAGCATTATGTTAAAAACAGGATTTTTCGGAGCATTCCAGACTTTTCCAGATTTTATATTTTAACCGGTTCAGATTTTTCTGAAAATGACCTGGCAGCGCTGATTGTCATCGTCTTCAAGCTCTGCTAGATTTGTTTGTGGATTGGTGCCGTCACAATAAACTCATAATCAGCGTTCCAAAGTGTGCAGTGACGACGTTTCACCGCTCAAAGAGTTCAATCCTTTACGACTACTGCATTGACAATGTAACGCTTCGCAGAGTAGAACGTATGACTGATCTTGTTGTTCTTTTGGACTCAAAGTTGACCTTCAATCTTCACTATTCCTCGATCTTCTCTAAGGCGAATCGTCAACTGGGATTTAATTCGAAGATTGAACGAGATTTCAAAGACCCTTACTGCTTGAAGGCACTATATTGCTCTTTAGTTCGGCCCATACTTGAGAATGCATGTGAAGTCTGGTCTTCATATGAGCTAGTGTAGAATCTAAGAATAGAACGCGTTTAGAAAAAAAAAAAATTTGAATTTGGCTTTGCGCAGCCTGCCGTGGCGCGATCCAATGAATTTACCATCTTATGCAGACCGATGCGTGCTATTGGACCTGGACACATTGGAACACAGAAGAAAAATGCAGCAAGCCTTATTTGTAGCGAAACTTTTAAATGGCGATGTGGACTGCCCTCAACTGCTTTCACAAGTAAACTTCCGTGTTCCACAAAGGATGTTGCGGCAAGCATACTTACTACAACCAAGATTCCATCGGACTGCATATGGATACCATGAGCCAATGTTTGCGATGATTCGGGCATTCTCCGCTGTGGAAGACGCATTTGAATTCGGATAAACATCGAACCAATTTCAAAACCGATTGAGAAGATTGTGATTATTTTTGTAATCTGTTTATCTATTGCTTTTTTGTGTATTATCTAAGTTTTATTCATTAAGACAACTACTATCAGATGAATAGATTAAAACGAGGGAAATAGCTTTATAGATCAATGTAATGACAACCTGCAAACAGTAATGAATATACCCAACATGGAATAAAAATATAAATTTCATGAAATTTGAAAAACATAGTATGAGAACATATTAGACATCTACACTAGATACAGCATGTACCAGTCTGCCCAGTCTCCAGCCCCCACATTCGAGAGCAATCAGCCACAAAAATAGCAACCTTAACAATTCAACAGAACAGAACAGAAGCTCTCAGTATGATTGCAACTCAAACTGACACGATTGTCCTCGAAATTCGTTTCTCCAATCCAGCCCACTTCTAAGTCTTCTCCAGATTGCCAAGCTATGACGAAACTAGCAAAAATATCCCCTCGAACTCTTCCCACCCACACATGAATTACCATGTCCGGAGCTTTTCACAGGTGCCCACATGTCCTCGTCGTCACTGTCGTCATCGTGAACGACGTCATCGCCCGGTTTTTGGTGACGAGCTAGAGCAGCCGGTTGGAAACGACAAGCACAAGGCAATCAGAACGGAACGGTGAACGGGGTTTGCCATTTTTGGTGTTGTCGCAAATCGTCGTTGACCATGAGAGATTGTCAAACGAACCGTCTTTGGATTCGTTCGAAATGCTGGGGACGTGGGAGATTGCACCTGAACGAGTCTTTGGACTTTGGCAGAACCCAGTCAAGGTTTGATTTTCCCTTTTTCCATGGGATGATGATGATGATGATGATGATGGCGATGATGAAGATGTCCAGGAATTATGTATGAAGAAGCAGACGATACGGTTCAGTTGGGAATGGCACAGTTTTCCCTTGGAGATCATTGAGCTAGAGGACTAGTTGCTTTTCACAAAGCCATAGGACGGAAGAGAGACTGACGATGATGATGGGTGTTGTTTTAAGATAATGGCGTTTAGTATTGTTTGGTCTGTACGGTGTAGGTTTTTTTTTTGCCCAGGAAATGGGACTGGAGAATGGGCTGACCTTTTAGCAAAGTGATAGAGTTTTCGATGGAGAGTTGCTAGCTTCTCGAGGACCGGTAAATTGAATCGTTTAGCATTATTTGTATGTAGAATTTGTGGTAAGTGTTAATGGAAGGCTTTGTAAGAGTAGAAGTCCATAATTTTCGGACTGCTTCCTTGAATATCGATCGCATGGTAATCCCCGCGGGCAGCAATGTCACTCATCAATCGTGGCTCGCACTTTATTTAATTACCTTCATTTCCCTCAAGTGACTCCGATAATCCGGTAACTGTCATCCCAAATCACTTCCAGAAATCCCCCCGTTCTCACTCTCCAGTCGTTGCTCGGCTGATTGTGGACCCCCTCAGGCAAATCCCAACCAAGCAAATACAAACGAGAAAAATCCAATTGTCTACGTGTCACCAGGAAAACGTCGACGTTCTTGTCGCTTCGGTAAAAGTCTGTACGTGTACGAGTGCACGCATGTTTGGCTCCTGTGCCTTCAGGCAAACTTCGACAAATTTCGAAAGTCGTAATTCACGCGAGAAAAAAACAAAGGAAAGCCATAATTTTCCCTCCCAAAAGACTTGCAATCACAATCAGAATCGCACCGGGAAAATCACGTCGCTCCGGGCTAAGTAGAGCGAAAGAACGAGAGAAAAACTGAAGACAAACGCTTTCACACACGACCAAGCGTGAAAATTCGTTATCGCACAAATGATGCTCCCTTCTCTCCCGCCCCCCGATCAAAATATCAGAAGGAAATCGAAAACAGAGACAGACCCTTTTCCGAGAAAACGAACTTACCCTAATCAGATGATGTTTGCGATTGATATCGCTCAGCTTGAACATTTTGCACCAGTGCAGGGAGTCGGTGTACTGGGGCAGCTCCACGTCCTGATTGCGTAGCTCCATGATCTTCATCCGCGCGTCGAGCTTGATTGGCGACTGGTTCACCCGTTGCGTCAGGAAGAGCGACCGAACCTGCTTGAAGGCTTCCGCCGGATCTGGCAAGCTACCGGGCGTGTACTTGGACCCGTGTGGTTCCTCGTCGTGGTACATGAAGATCACGCGCATGGTATCGTTCTGAAAAGCGAATGAAAAGGGAAGAAGTTTCATTTAGACGGTGGTTTCGTGTGAGGATGGCTCAATTAGTCTGGTAGCTAAGAAGTGTAAAATGAGACGGAAGTACAATATGGGCATAAGACCAAGCTAAAACAATGATGAATAAAATGAAATCTAAATAGGTTGTCGAAAGGACATATGGGCAGTGCTGTGGTTTTGGATGGTCGCGGGTAGTCATTGAGTACTTAGCACTAAAACCAATAAATTACCTATTACGCATCAGTGCACGTGGTATTTATATCCTGGGTAAAATCGAGATGTTCTACTGCATAATTAATGCACGCTAAAAGAATGCAATCAAGCTTTAGGAAGAAATTTCTTAAAACATTTTCTGGAACACATTCTATGAATGAACACTGTCTATAAGGGTGTCTTCCCATTTGGCAAAATAAAGTGCCCTGCTTTCCAGCATTTTATTATTTTATATATAAAAAAAAATATATTTTTAGTAAAACAACAACAATGGAAATAAAAGTAATCGTTTTGTAAGCCATGGCAATTAGTTTAAAAAAAAACGGCTTTACAATCAAATCTATTAAAAAATGATATTTAATATTTACTTAATTTTAGTAACGTGAAGATCTCAAAATATTTAGTGTTTTGAAGTTTCGTATTTGCAAAGTGTCATAATTATAAATTTGCAAAGTGTCATAATTATAAAAAAATTATTCCCACGTTTTCAAATACTCAGGAATGAAAGAATATGTTAAGAATTTCAGTGAAGCTAAATAAACAAGGGAAGTTCTCAAAACATCTTGAAAAAATGTGAACGTCATGGAAGCCTTAAGAACTTCAATCCGGTTCCATTAGCTTCAAAAAATATAAGAAACTTTTAAGAAATTCTTGGATTTTCAGAATTATTTAGAGAATTTAACGTAAATCAAAATAAATTCAGAGATGTGAAGAGAATTTGGAAAAAAAAGTAAGAGATTGTATCCAAGACACGACCGTAGATTTGACGTAGGATTAGGAAAGGTAGTTATGATGTCATAGCAAAAGTATAGTAATTATTAAATTGATTTCTTAACTTGTTATAAGTGAAAAATTTCGATAGGTTGAAATTCGGAAGCAATTTTTAAGGTGCTCTGTCGATGTCCATGTAGTACTAGCCAATCCTGGTTGGTATGTCTTGGATACAAGCTCTTACTCTTTAGTTAACTCTTTTATCGGTCATTTGTGGTTGGAAGCTTGGAAGCTAGTTAAGAACAATACCATGTAAATTTTTCCTCGATAATTTTGTAAATGATAGCAGTGCGGAAATGAAATATGCAGGGAAAATGGATGTAATGTCGGTCTAAATGCCCCTTATTTGGGCCCATACATAAATTCAGCAATCAATTAAAATTTCAATGGCGACCTAAAAAATCCATTAGTATCGTCCCAATGACGCGTTCATTGTCATTGGAACGGTACTAATGGATATTTTAGGTCGCCATTAAAATTTTAATCGAAAAATTTCCATAGTATTGTTCTTAACTAGCTTCCAAGCTTCCAACCCATCGGCCCTTTTAGGACCACAAATGACTAATAAAAGAGAACACGAAATAGTAAGAGCTTGAATCCAAGACATATCGTCTAGGATTGGATTGTACTACATGGACATCTAGATAAAATGTATAAATAGCAGATTTTTAGTGATGGACCCAATCATAGATCCATAGGCCAACATTAGAGCCATTTCCCCTATTAGGAAAAACACATCAATCACAAAATATGAGTCTACCGGGTGGTACCTAAGTTTTTACTTTTTGATGCATATTTTAAGCCCCTGCTATTAAGAGAATTCGGCAAAGCTATTTTTTGGCATAATGCTCTTAATAGGAGGGGCTTGAAATTTGAACCAAAAGACATAAACATTGGTACCGTCTGGTATGCTCAGTGATTGGTATCAATGTTCGGCGACTGTGATAGGGAAACCGCTTTTCCCATCACGGAAACGCTTCGTTTTCTGATAACGCATTTACGTGCACAAAACGCACGGAATTTTTGTTTTATTTGATAGATAATAAGAAAAGCAAAAATTGATTGGAAGAATTTCTTGTTCAAATTTTTCCAATCGCGATGCGATCAATCATATAAATTCAAGTTTTTTTTTTGCTTTTTCTAGCGTCCTGGTTAATTGACATGGTCATGTGGTATTCAGTAATTGCGAGAATTTGTATGCACCACTTCAATACTGTTACGCATTTGACGACAAACGTTTGGTTGCTGGGTACATTATCAAAGAGCTTCAAACGTTCAATGTAAATTAACTCTAAAGCAACGATAATTTATGGTGATCCTAGAAAAGGACCGTTTTGTCGTGATGGTTGAGTAATACTGAGCTATTAGGGTGTTCAACACAGATGATGCTGGTGAGCTGTATGTTTTTTGGAGCTAGGGTGACCCACAGCGACCCACGAAGAAACTGATTTTGATACATAGCGGTGCGGCTTCATCCTCCTTCTGTTGCTCATGTGGGCTCTGCAGTTCGCTGCTTGCAGGCTACCTTTCGTTGTGTACTGGAGAACAATGTTCAATGTTGAATGAGCACCATTCAGTGAGACAGGATCAAATTAGATTTTTAAATCTGTGTTAGGGAATGCGCTTTTTGCAGGCAACCGGTGATAATTTTGATCACCATTGCAACAGTTGGACATTTGTGTATTTTTCAAAAGTGGCCTAATGAAAATTAATAAAGTGTTCATTTTAGCAGCTTGGTAGATAAATTTTCAATCGATTGGCTTGTTTGGAATTAAAATCCATCTGCTATTGACAGAGTTGTATGTGGTCAAAACCTGACCTCTTTTCGTAATGCGGTCGATTTTGATTTTTTGAAATTGCACCCCCAATATGTTGCCGAAAGACGTAACCCTACGGCAAAAACTATGAAAACTTTAAATAAGTGCCAAGGTTCTTCAAAAAAGCTATATCTAGAGATCTTTGGAGAATTTTAGAGACCTTAAGGATAGTTCCCGTAGCTGCTGGAAAGTTCAGACTTTTGCAGGAGCTAAAACATGTATAAGCATGAGTAGTCATGTCAAGAAACAATTCCTGATTCTCCGGAATATTTTTCCTGGAAAACAGATAATTTGTTTCACAATATTATTGCTTATTCACACCACATTATTTGAAAAAAACCGGATGAAGCAAGTAGCTATATTTGGAGCAAATTGGAAGAAACATCAGGAGGAATTAGAAAATATTCCATAAGTGTAAAGGAACTTCCGCAAAAAGTTCGAAGAAGGTAAATTTGGCAGAAAAAAAGTCGGAAGATACTTCAGTTAAAGACAGAAGGCAATTACAAAGGCAGAACGTTAGAAGAATCTTTCGAGGAAGTTTATTGAAACTTCCGGAAATGTAAACTCTGGAGAAACTTCCAGAAAAATCATGCAGAGGGAATTCAGAAGACAGTACCATAAGATGTCAGAAACATTATCATAGGGCAGCAAGTAGAAGCTATCTGGAGAGGTCGTGTGAAATCCCATATTGCAACCGGAAGAAATCGCCCAGCCCAGGAGACACACTGACGCACGACTTACTCTCACGCTGGTTTGGGGAACAAAGAGGAAGAGACACGATGCTACAGTCTCTTGTGCCGTTGGCTCGGTGGAGGGTTTGTGGTTGTGTGAGTGTGTTTCCTCAACTATTCGTTCAGCAAGGGATGGAATCTAAGGGGAACAATGTAGTACAATCAAGGTGTATCCCACAGGTCGGAAGAACTTTTAGGGACTTCAAACCCGTAAGAAGTCGAGAGATGCTCTAGGGAAAACCCTAAAGAAAAATTCTATTAAAGTTGGAAAAAGGTACCTGGATAAAACAGAACTTCCTCGGGAAGTTTGGGGAGAAATCGGAAGAATCTTCTCGATGGAAGTCAGACGAAAGATAGAAACCACTTACGGGGGAGGTCAGAAGAACTTCTGGGAGCTGTCGGAAGGCCCTTCCAAAGGCTCTCAAAGGAATCATCCAGAGGAAATAAGAAGAAGCCTTGGAAGAAACTTCGCTTCGAACTTTTTAACTATTACGGAAAAAACTTTCGGTGGGATTTTATTTATGATCACCGCCTTCGACTAAGTCGCGCAGATTGAACTACTTAATACTATTGTCCTATGTGAAACAATAGTTTTTGACATGTTAAAATCGAATTTGTCGTCAACTTCATTAAAAGTTCGAAGACAAAAATCATGCGAATTGTGGTACCCAAAGTTCGTCCTGTGGTACGGAATTGCCAGTAGAGGCAAACTTCGGAAGCGACGTAGAGGGATGTTGATCGGTATCTTCTCAAGAAGAGCGGCACAGTCAATACTTCCTGTGATGACATCGAACACGAACATGGGCTGCATTTTAATTCGCCTTGCTGACAGACTTTTCAAGTTGATCAGTCAGCATCGGTCGGGGTAAGATGGAAGCTTTACGTAGAGCGAATCGTATAAATCTCTTTTGCACACGCTCAACTGCTGAGATCTGCGTGACGTAGAATGGTGTCCATACAGGAGCAGCCTATTCCAGGATACGTCGCACTAACGAGCAATATAATGTTTTGATGGCGTATGCATCAGTGAAATCTGAAGCATGTCGACGAATAAATCCGAGTGCAGAAAATGCTTAACGGTTGTAATAGCTACATGTTCGTTAAACTTAAATTTTGAGTCAATAGTTACGCCCAGATTGCAAATCGATCGAACTCGCTCCAGTGTAACGGATTCCATCTTAAAATGATGGATAATGGGCCTGGTGCGTCGCGTAAAAGAAATAACTTTGTATAACCTGTAATAACCTATAACCTGTAATAACCTTTATGTCCTCTTGCAACGCCATGCAGTCTTCTGAAATAGTGATGGCACGATAAATCTTTAAGAAAGTTTCAAATAAGAGTGCATTATACACAAGTCATTCACGAAGATATTGAACATCAGCGGTCTGGGAACGCTTCCTTGGGGTACACCGGACGTGATGCTGAACGGTTTGGATTGTGCCGCATT